CAATCATTGTCGCTTTAAGCCCATTGCTGCTGCCACTGTGCCAATCCACCTCACTGGGGGGGGGGTTTCCTCTTTTTCACTGACTCTCCACGTTACCAAAAATGATGTTCTTCTCTAGGGACTGGTCCTTCCTGATAATATATCCAAAATCTGAGAGACCAAGTCTGGCCATCTTGGCTTCCAAGAAGCATTCTGGACTTCTTCCAACACAGACTTATTTGTTCTTTTGGCAGCCTATTTGTACTTTTAATATTCTCCAACACCATCACTCAAATGCATCCATTCTTCTACAGTGTATATGTAGGCATATGTACCTACATGTTTGTGTGTGCTGCCTATATCCATATATGAGGGGGGCTTCAAAAAGTTCATAGGAAAATTCCATTTTCTTTTATCATATTTTCCCATGAAGTTTTTGAAGCCCCTTCATATGTAACAAAGCACACAGGGGCAGTTACTGAGGCTTCCTAGACATTATCTCATGGGATTGGTTTCCTGGGCTAAAAGGGTTAGGACTTTACTTGACAATCTAGTAATTGGCATAACTTAGTTCATAAAAATTATGTTCTAACGTTCTAGCAGCTTCTGGGGTCTTTGAAAGGCTTGCAAGCAGCCACTTAAGATACCAACTATTCGTTTCATCTGAAGCAAAAGAGGGCAGGAGATCAGACTCAGAGAAGTCACTAGTCAGAGGACCAAAGGCTCCCAGAAACCCGAGCCTCTTTTAGCCTGAGACCAGAACTGGATGGTGCCCAGCTCTACTACCAACCATTCTGACCATGGACACAATGCAATGCAGGTCCCAGATAGAAGGGAAAAAAGTTGTAGAACAAAACAGGCCAAACCTCCTGGGCCAACAGAGGTGAGAGGAATCTTTGAGACAATCACCTTAAGGTATCATTTGAATGTGGCACTGAACTCATTCCTGGAGGTCACCTTTCAGCCAAAGAAAAGATTGAAACAATGCCACCTGTACTGTGTTTCCTTAAGCAATCACCTCTATGAGACCCAGTGGCCACCTTTATCCCAAAGCAGAGGGGAAGGGAAGCTAGGTCAGTAGGGACATTAGAGACGAGAAATCATGGGAAGGGACACTCACATGTAGTGAACAATGTAACCAAAGCATGGAACAATTCGTGAAAAAACTGAAATGGGAACCAAATCTGCTGTATTAACTTTGACCTAAGGCAGAGTTAAATATTAGTAACTTCATTTTCCATTCATGGTGGCCCCACGTGTACAAGCAGAACTGTGCTCCCCAGGCCTCTCTGCGTGGGTTCATAGAGCACACACAACCAGCCTGTGCCCCAGGGGCCTGTGAGAAAGGACTGTCTCTTCACTGGCCAGTGACAGGTCTCTGTTGGCTCATCATTGTGTCTGACCTACACGACCACCTGTCAGTGCCGGGGCAGGCATCCAATGCCGATTCTTTTGTGGGGCCCATCAGAACTTCAGAATTGGGTAACTGTACAATTCCAACAGTTCTGTCTCCAGACCTGCTTCCTCCAGCCTGAATCAAGCTTCTGACTGTGCCCAGGCTCCGACCCATGCTGCCCACGAGCTGCTTCCCTATTTCCCAGCTCCATCTGGGGGCTGTCCCTTGCTCAGCAAATCCACAAGTCAAACTCAACTCCCTAAGTGGACCCCACTCCAACCCCAAATTCTGAGGCCACCAGCTAGTGCTTCGGCCTGGTGTGGAAGGAAACCCCACTTCATGGCATTCTTTACCTGCTCAGACTGGTCCCACCCAGTCAGGAAAGCTTTGAGAACCTGGGCCCTACTGGTGGCCAAGGAGCAGATCTAGTGACTGAGTGGTTCCTTCACCTCTGCACAGGTGAAGGTGAGCGTCCACACACCTAACCTAGAGCAGACGGAACTGCCTGTCGGCCCAGGTATGGCAGCTGCCCTACAAACACAGCCTCGGAAACACTAAAGGGCAGTTTCCACTCTGACCTTTAGGTTACCAAGTCGCATCAAGTAGAGGGCAGTGGGTTAGATGAGGACTCCATACACTAAGTGGTTCCCACACAATGTGCCTGCTCACACCAGGCTTGTGTTCTTCTAAAAGGTGGGCATGCCCAGAATCCCGGTCCGCAGAGCAGACTGTTCTTAATTCTTGTGTTGGGGCTTCCTACCAATCCTAGACCCCTGGCCACTGTTGTTCAGATGTCTTAGTAGAATCTCCATGACTGTCTTGTTGGACTCAATCTTTTATTGTAAATTGTTGATCTCCCCTGCCTAGTCTGGAAGGCAATGAAAAACCGGAAACTATGAATAAACTACACTTAGACTACTAAATGATTCAATAGAAAACATACAGATGAGGTCATTGTTGCTTCTGACTCCTATCGACCCTTATAGGGTTTCCATGGAATGGCTGGTGGGTTTGAACTGCTAACCTTGTGGTTAGCAGTCCAATGCTTATCCTAGTGCACCACACAGAGTGTACTAGTGTTCAGACAAGGACTAACTAACTGTAGGCCTGACTTGCTCAGATGTGCATATTCCCAAAGACTTTGTAGACTGGCCTTGGCATCTCCTGGGAGCCACACCGTCCTTCCTGGCCGTCTTTTTATAAGGTGAGCTGGAGCGCATGCTAACCTGACAGAGCGCTTTCTGCAGTGTGCACGCTGTGCTGGGATGTAGCTGAAGTCAGTCAGCAGGTCTGCAGGCCACATTAACCACTGTGGAGACCAGGGTCAGCAGACGTTACCGCACAAACCTTGTCACACATTAAGAAAAGGAGCATGTCCCAGGTGCCACTGGCCTGGTTGGTCACCCCAGTACCTTTTCCCTTGGCTGACTGAAATCAGTCCTTTCACTGTCATACTGTGTACGTAAGGATAACAGTTTCTCTGTCTTGTAAGTCTTTCCAATGAATCATCAAGCCTCAGGGTGGTCTTGGAAACCCCCAACACATCTAGCTAAAACAGTCAATGTAATAAAAAAAAAAAAAAGAAGAAGACAGCCCAGCAAGAACCCAAACCGGGAACTCACTAAGAACTTCATTCCTTACAACCACCTCCTGGTGGGGTTGGGTGCCAGAGAACTGGTTCTGACTCACTGCCACCCCATATACAACAGAGCAAACCACAGCCCAGTCCTACACCGTCCTCACAATTGTTGCTGTTTGAGCCCATGGCTGCGGCCACGTGGTCATTCCTTCTCGTTTAGGGCCTTCCTCTTTCTCACTGACCCTCTACAATCTTCTCTGGGTGAGAAAACTGAAAGCTAGAGCCAGTCTGTCTGCAAAGCCTGGATCCGATGATCACACTGCATACATAGTGTCAGGCGGTTTCCAGAATTTAACAGGCAGAAGAACCAGAGAGACGAAAATCATAGACTACAAAGACAAGTAAGGCAGGAAGAGCCGACGCGAAAGACAACTCACCAGAAACAACAGTGGCACGGAGTTCATCTAATTCCATGGAGAAATGATAAATTGTTAGGTCAGCTAAAGGTGGCAGGACGCATAGCATTTCCATCTGTACCTTGATTTTCTTGTGGGGATCTGTAGGTTACAGTGAGATTCACCTCCACGGCTAGATGGAGTACGGGAAAGGGATGGTATCTCTAATTTTCAAACTTCAGACAAGTGGCAGGTTGTTCAGGAGACAGTGGCTGAGTTTGATAGCAGGAACAGAAAACTCAGTGTGGACAGATTCATCATTGATCTTTTATGAAATTGTTCCTTCCTTACATACATTTTAATTGCATCATATAAAATATTCCCGGTTCAGTTCCAGTGAATACAGGAAATTGAAGTTGAATGATACAAAAATTTTATAGAAATTTAGCAAAACTACATCTAGTGGGCTCTAAGAAAGAACATCATACCTTGCTATATAAGTAAAGACCTCACTAAATTCACTACACACACAATACTGGGAGGGGGCGGGACACTTATCACTAAACTAGCCAATCACTGTTTTCCTGCCTTCAGCGTCTTTGCTAAGCGGCTTCATTGTCTTGGTATCTTCTGGTTCTCATCCTCTTTGTTGATAAAAGGTTCTTATCCTGTTTGGGAAAAAAAAATATTATCACTCGTAAGTAATTTAAAAGAACAACTTTTGTTACAGTTCTACTCAACTACCAACAAAGTCAAAAGAAACCACTCAGATTCCTATTGAGGGTCATAGAGATCCTCAGTTTATAAAGTTAATTTTGAGGGCGAATCTCTTAATGCTTACTTCCCTTATTGTTACAAATTTGTCTTTAAATATAAACCGAACCATCTCGACAGAGTGGAGCCATTCAGGCATGTGAGTGGGGGATTCCGCAGCAAACACCAGAGTTGTGTCCTAGTGTCGCTGAGTGGTGGTGGTGGTGTGCAGTCGAGTCGGTTCCGACTCATAGACACCCTACGGGGTTTCCAAGGCTGTAAATCTTTACAGGAGCAGAAAGCCTCATCTTTGTCCCACGGCATGGCTGGTCGTTTTGAACTGCTGACCTTGAGTTTAGCATCCCGACTCGTAACCACTATGCTACCAGAGCTCATAGTGTGCCTGGGAGGAGCTGGAGGTATTCTGAGTTCACCGTTGAAACACCTCTTGTGTTATAAAACCTTACATTTTAGCCAACTGGGTGAAATCTAACATGCATCATTTCCTGAGGGACCCCCACTTGGCAGGCTTATCCGGGTAAAAAGTTAGCTAACAGAAGATGACCTTTGGTTTTTCAGGTGGCTGCGTGCACCCCTCAGGTGCCTGCCCCCCAACCATACAGCGAGGCAGAAAAAGCAAACTGTGACCCGCAGCCAAGGAGCATCGGCCCCACCAACTTAAGTGACCACTGGGGGGAGGCAGTGGGAAAGGGAAAGCTGGGAAAAGACTAGAATTTTCAAGGATCTGAGAGTCCCTGGGAATCCCACTGGCTCTAGGCCCCTCATTACAGTGCAGTACAGGTGTGTAAGACCTGAAGCAGGACTGTGCCACACAGGTAAATACAGTGGGAGGAGCTGCACCACCTCATCCAGGACGGTTCCTCCCATTACCAGTGCCTCATGCTGCCTTCCAGCGGGCCGCCCCATGCTCTCGGGCCGAATCCTGGTTAGCGCATGCGTGGGCGAGTGTGTTCGATGCCGGAAAACCCAGGGAACTCTGGCTGGTCTTGGCCGTCCGTCTCTCCCTAGTTCTGGAGTTTGTGCTAACCAGGACAATGGGTGTGGCCAGAGCGCTGACGCCTGGGAGGTGACTGCTACACTGGGTTCATTTGCTCAGCTCACTAGACGATTCTACGTCTAAATTGTCTGTGCTCAGAGCAAACTTACACCCCTCACAAAAAGGTCCCGCTAAATCAGAGTCCCCCAAAGAAGAGGACTAAGTGGGAGCAAGCGTGAGGATGAGCCAGACGGTAAAAATGGATGTTCTGCCCCACAAATTAAACCTGAGGTCGTCAAACACTGGAACCAACCAGACGGCACCTAACAACAAATTCGGCACCATTTTAATAGCACGTACAGTTCTTTAAGGAAGCAAAGTGGCTCCATATGATAAGCACTGGACTACAGACCACAAGGTTTGTAGGGCAGCGGTTTGAGCAGCAGGCACTCCACAGGAGAAAGATGACGGACAGCTTTGGAAACCCTACACAGGGTCACTGAGTCAGAACTGACTGGACGGTACTTAACATAGTTCTTTAGGGCCCTGGTGCGGTACTGTAGGATAAGCACTGGATCGCAGACTGCAAGGCCAGCAGTTCAAACCCACTAGCCATTCTCGGAAACTCTACAAAATCGCTAGGAGTCAGAACCAACTCAACGGCCCCCAATGATATAGTCTCTTGGTGTAAATAAATAGTCTTGAGTTGGGAGTGGGGAGCAGTGCACAAACAGATCCGTAGTGCGATCCGCTACTCAAGGACCCCCAACTTGTGTGGGCTCCAGCTTTTAGAGACGGCCCAGACGTCACCGCCTTCTGCTCTGTCGAGTTGACCTACAGACTGAAGACAACTGCTTACAATCTCATCTAGTCAGAGGTGCTAGTCATTCAGAGGTCTTTGTAACGTGGCTTTATTATCAGAAGTAGAATTCCCAGAACGTACTACCTACCCAGCTACCACAACCGAGGGCACCTGCCTATTGCAGAGGTCTCACCTGGGACACCACCGTTCTAATACTCATCACAAAGGTCAAAAGTCAGCAACTTACCTGCTTGGGATCCTGGGTGGCTGTTTCTTCAGAAATGGCTCTTTTGGAACCACGTGTTACTCTTGGCAGTGATTTGATGTCACTCTGGTTACAGCTTGTCTTTTTGGTTGGTTCCGGTTTTGTCTGATTTCGAGATCTCAACTTTGAAGAGCGAGTTCTCAGCCCTGTGACTTTATCGTCTGTGACTTTCTCAGGGGCTGGGTCAACAGCCCTCTTTCCCGAGGGGGCTCTCTCTGCGCTGGGCTCAGGGTCAGACTCCTGGGTGCTGGCAGTGCTGACCGGCGCCTTATTTCGCCTTCCAGATCGCACACACGGCAGAGCTGCCGAGGTGACAGCTTCTTTCTGCGGCCGGCTTTTGGCAGCAGGCTTCTCTGGGGGCTTGGTTTCTGTTGGACTTGTTACACTCATGTGTCCCTCCGGCTCTGTGCTGACTTTCTTCCTCCTTCTAGAGCGTAGGCCTTGACCATCTTGCGTTGGAATGCTTCCGTCTGCATCGTCGTCCTTGTCAGTGTAGCCTGTCTCCTCCTGGATTGTGGGTAGGGAGGGTGCGGGCTGCGCTTCCTTTCCGAGACGTTTACCCCGCTGTCTCGTCTTCACCTCCACACTGCTCTCCTGCTCTTGTGCCACTTGTTTGGCCGGTTCCGGGTGTCTCACCCCGCGTGTCCTCCTGGCCTCCCCGGATTCAGTCGTCTTACACGTGTCAGGTGGACTAGGAATGTCCAGAGCACTGGGTCCACGTCTAGATCGCAGCCCTCGAGTTGCAACTCTCTTCTTTGAGGCTTTGTCCACGGGATGGGTGACTGCTTCCGCCTCCTCCTCATCCCTTTTCACGGCCACTCTGGCTGCTGTGCTGGATGGATCATGAGACTCTCCTGTCTCCACAGGGAAGGCCTCAGCTGAACGTGTCACACGAGACTCTTCAGGGTCCACGGGGACGACCTCACTTGAGCGTGTGACACGAGGCTCTGTCTTTGCAGGGAAGGCCTTAGCTGAGCGTCTGACACGAGGCTCTGTCTTTGCAGGGAAGGCCTCCCTTGAGCGTGTGACACGAGGCTTTGTCTCCGTAGGGAAGGCCTCAGCTGAACGTGTGACACAAGACTCTGTCTCCATAGGGGTGGTCGCAGCTGAGCGTGTGACACGAGGCTTTGACTCCGTAGGGAAGGCCTTAGCTGAACGTGTGACACGAGACTTTGTCTCCGTAGGGAAGGCCTCAGCTGAACATGTGACACAAGACTCTGTCTCCATAGGGGTGGTCACAGCAGAGCGTGTGACATGAGGCTTTGTCTCCGTAGGGAAGGCCTTAGCTGAACGTGTGACACGAGGCTCTGTCTTTGTAGGGAAGGCCTCAGCTGAGCGTGTGACCTGAGATTCTGTCTCCGTAGGGAAGGCCTCAGCTGAGCGTGTGACCCGAGACTCTGTCTCCTTAGGGGAGGTCTCAGCTGAGGGTGTCACCAGGTCAGAGTGAGTGTTGAGTTTCCTCCTAGATCTGAGCACCTTCTTAGCTTCCCCTGTAGGTTTGCTCTTTTCCTGCAGACTCTTCACTGGCTGCTCATGCTCCTCTGTTGGCATCCCCTCTGAGAAACCAGCCGGCAATCGCACATCCCTTCTACTTCGTCCCCTGGATCTGGAGGCCACGGTCTGTTCTTTGAGAGCTTCATCTGCGGAGGGTGACTTTTGGGAGTTCCTCAGGGTCTTTTTCCCACCTCGACTGATGTGAACGGTTTCTGTGGATGGAAGCAGTTGAGGCCCTTGCACTTCTGGGCCCGTTTTGCATCTCCCTTTGGAGCGCAGGGATGTTCTCTGACGTAGGTTTGCTTGGGGATTTGACTCCACTGTCTTTATGTCCTCCTTGCTTTCCTCTCTCTCGGACTGATGGGGCGAATGTTTGGATTCTTGCAGTTCTCCCCCCTTCTTGGTTCTGAGGGTATTTCTTGTCCTTTGATTTCTACCACGATCTTTCCGGGTTGTCTGCCCTAACTTTTCAGAGGCATTAGTCTGGGATTCTGTAACATAAAGGGAATAAACATATTCATAAGTATGTCTGCTGCTGATTTACATGGATATTCATATTTATTGAAGCAATTTCCCACAAAGCATCACACACGTGCAGAAACTTGTCTTCTGGCGTCAATGACTTTTTAAACTTAGTGACTGTGAAAATCTCCAGTAGCATATACCAGGAGCAAACCAAGACAGATGTGTAGCTGAAAAGTAATAGCATCATACAACAATCTAGGCTTTGGACTTTTCAAAGATTCCTAAATTTAAAAATAATAATTAACTCAAATTTTATCAACTACTACGTGTAAAGAGTCTTGGAAAAATTCCATATAAACACAGATTTCTACTCACCATCTTCACAAGGATGACAAGAGGTTTTTTTTGGACTGTCTCCTGGTTCACCCTAAAAAAAAAAAAATAATAAAAAAAAAAATTTGCAAATAAAATTCCCGAATTGAGTAAAGCAAATCTCAAAATCCCTTATGAGGAAAAACATACCCATATGGAAACTCAAGAGTACTTCATTTGCAAACTGCACATGGATTTGCTTTCTAAGATGTTCAAGGCCATGCCTTGCCAGTTTGTTCTGGTGAAGAACAGTCAACCCCACCCCACCGGGGTGCTGTTGAGTCAGACAGAACCAACTCAATAGCAACTGGCCATTAAAAAGTCATAAAAAATGTTCAGTTAGTGATATAAGTCAAATATGACTAAAACAATTTACTTAGAATACAATGCCCCATTAGACAGGCAGTGAATTCATTCTCAATTCTCTAAAAGCTCACTTTAAAAGCTGAACAGGAAAATGCTTGTATCTGGAATTTTGCCAAACTTCTCTCAACACAGCCATCTCTGTAACAATCCTGACAGAGAAGGCTCACGTCCGAGTCCCCACCCCTGTTTACAGCCTTCTCACTGACAGATGACTGGCATGGACTAAATGATTTCTACCCACTGAGCCTTTGGCAGTAGCTAGTGAAGTGTAGAATGATTTGTACTCCTTTTCTCTGACCAATTTTTCACACATTTAGGTGAACACAATGCCTTCACTTCCTGAGAAACATCTTAAAATTGGCAGAGGTGATTTGGGCCAGTACTTTTTCTACATCAGTACAGTCCTAGAAAGCCCATGATTTCCTTACCATGACCTGGAGTAACTCAGTGTTGAATGCAGACCCTCTGTGAAAGGATATCCCATTACAAACAATGCTACAGCCTTATGAATGAGCACACAAAAATGCAGAGGTTTTATCAGATCACGTTTGCAATGACTGTTTTTACCTTATTTTTAGTTGCTGAATCAGATGTCTCCTCACACACAGTGCTAGTAACTTCCACAGGCTTTTGCAGCCCAGAGTTTTGAACTGGCCCTTCTTTCTTGACAAGTCTTTCAGGTAACCGGCTTTCTCGTAATTTCTGCAGAGTCGTGAGAGTACCAGAATCATTCACTGTTGGAAACATGGCAACCTGTGTGCCATCTTCTTCTGGGTACACATGAGGAGTCTTCTGGAGCTTCCGATCACCGGCCCGCTCATATGGATGTTTCCGTGTTCTCCCTCGGGTCTTGAAACCTGTTGGCTCTTCCACTTGGGCTGTTTTCTTGGTGGAATTTCTCAGATGTTTGTTCACACCCACCCGAGGTTCTGGCCTCTCTTTGGCATCTGTGCTGAGTTTTGAGTTGACTGCCTGGAGATCTGGGTGCACCGCTTGAGGTGGAGTGTTTAAGAGATTTAACGTCAAGCCCTTCTTTGGTTCCAGCTTTATTTTCAATGATGACTTCCGCAGTGGCCTGTCTGCTGGGCTTTCTAGAGCTTCTGGTTTCTGCTTTGTTGGTTCGTCTGGTTTCTTCGGTGTTGGTGTATGGCCTTTCATGCCAGCCAAGTCTTCCACAAGCTCTGGGCTTGCACTGGGGTTTTGGCACAGTCTTGGGGACATTCTTGGAGTTTCTCCTGACTTAGGTGTACGTTTTGGAATTTCCCGAGCCTCTCTGTAGATTTCTTCATCGCTTCTTGACTGTTTCGGTGATTCCAGTGATGACATATGATCTTCCATTCTGGGCAGGTCTGCCACAAATTCCAGGCTGGCACTATGGTTTCTCAATGGTTTCACAGACATTCTTGACACTTCTGACTTTGGTGTGACTTTTGGACTTCTCTGAACCACTCTAGTATCATCACCAGTTGACTGCTCAAGTAATTCCAATGTTGGCATATGACCTTTCATTCTAGAATGGTCTTCCATGACCTCTGGGCTTGCCCTAGGGTTTCTCAGCAGTCTCAGGGACATTCGTGATGTTTCTCCTGATTTTGGAGTTTTCCAAACATCTGGGTGGACTTCATCACTTATTGACCGCCCTGCTAATTCTGGTGTTGTCATATGATCTTTCATTCCAGACAGGTCTTCTGTGACCTCTGGGCTCACACCAAGGTTTCTCAGCTGTCTCAAGGACATTCTTGGAGTTTCTTCTGACTTTGGTGTGTGTTTTGGAGTTCTCTGGTCCATTCTAGTATCACTACTTGACTCTTTTGGGGAATTCAGTGTTAGCATATGATTGTCCACTCTGGACAGGTCTTCTGCAAGCTCTGGGCTGGCACTAGGGTTTCTCAACAGTCTCAAAGACATTCTTGACATCTGTCCAGACTTTGGTGTGCATTTTGGAATTTTCTGCATATCTACTTGGATTTCTTCATCACTTACTGCCCACCCTGGTGATTCCATAGTTATTACGCGATCTTTCATCCCAGACTGGGCTTTCGTGGCTTCTGGACTTGTACTAGAGTTTCTCAACAGTCTCGGGGAAATTCTTGACATCTCTCCTGACTCTGGTTTGCTTTCTGGAGTTCTTTGAACCATTTTGATGACATCACCACTTGACTCCCCTGGTGATTCCAATGTTAGCACACTACTGTTCATTTGGGATGGGCCTTTCACAAGTTCTGGGCTGATATCACGGTGTCTCAGCAGTTTCAGGGACATTCTTGGTGTCTTTCCTGACTTTGGTGTGTGTTTTGGAGTTTTCTGAGTATCTAGGTGGACTTCTTCATCACTTATTGATTGCTCTGGTGATTGTGGGCTTACACCAAGGTTTCTCAGCTGTCTCAAGGACATTCTGGGAGTTTCTTCTGGATTTGGTGTCTGTTTTGGAGTTCTCTGGACCATTCCTATAACATCATCACTGGCCTTCTCTGGTGATTTTGGTGTTGGCATATGATCTTCTATTCTAAATAGATCTTCTCTAAACTCTGGGCTGGCAGAAGGATTTCTCAGCAGTCTTAAGGACATTCTTGATGTTTGTCCTGACTTTGGTGTACTTTTTGGAGTTTTCCGAATACCTAGTTGGACTTCTTCATCGGTTATTGACTGTCCTGGTGATTCCACGGCTGTTATATTATCTTTCATTCCAGACAAGACTTCCACAACCTCTGGGCTCACACCAAGGCTTCTCAGCTGTCTCAAGGACATTCTTGGAGTTTCTTCTGACTTTGGTGTGCGTTTTGGAGTTCTCTGGCCCATTCTAATATCACCACTTGACTCCTCTGGTGATTTCGGTGTTGGCATATGATTGTCCATTCTAGATAGGTCTTCTGCAAGCTCTGGGCTGGCATTAGGGTTTCTCAATAGTCTCGAGGACATTCTTGACATATGTCCTGATTTTGGTGTACATTTTGGGGTTTTCCAAGTATCTAGGTGGACTTCTTCATCACTTATTGACTGCCCTGGTGATTCTGGACTTACACCAAGGTTTCTCAGCTGTCTCAAGGACATTCTTGAAGTTTCTTCTGACTTTGGTGTGCGTTTTGGTGTTCTCTGGTCCAGTCTAATATCACAACTTGACTCTTTTGGTGATTTTGGTGTTGGTATATGATTGTCCATTCTGGACAGGTCTTCTGGAAGCTCTGGGCTCGCAGTAGGGTTCCTCAATAGTCTCAAGGACATTCTTGACACCTGTCCTGATTTTGGTGTGCATTTTGGAGTTTCTTGAATATCTAGGTGGACTTTTTCATCACTTACTACCTGTCCTGGTGATTCCACAGTTGTTATATGATCTTTTATCCCAGGAAGAACTTCCATGAGCTCTGGGCTTCCACTAGGGTTTCTTTGAAGTCTCAAGGACATTCTTGGTGTTGCTCTAGACTTTGGTGTGCATTTTGGAGTTTTCTGAATCATTCTAACATCATCACTTGACTCTAGTGATTCTGGTGGTGGCATATGATCTTTCAATCCAGACAGGTCTTCCACAAGTTCTGAGCTTATACCAAGGTTTCTCAGCAGTTTCAGGGACATTCTTGACTTTTGATCTGACTTTGGTGTACATTTTGGAGTTTTCCGAGTATCTAGGTGGACTTCTTCATCACTTATTGATTGCTCTGGTGATTGTGGGCTTACACCAAGGTTTCTCAGCTGTCTCAAGGACATTCTAGGAGTTTCTTCTGGCTTTAGTATCTGTTTTGGAGTTCTCGGGACCATTCCTATAACATCATCACTGGCCTTCTCTGGTGATTTTGGTGTTGGGAAATGATCTTCTATTCTAGATAGATCTTCTCCAAACTCTGGACTGGTAGAAGGGTTTCTCAACAGTCCTAAGGACATTCTTGGCTCTTGTCCTGACTTTGAAGTACGTTTTAGAGTTTTCCGAATACCTAGTTGGACTACTTCATCAGTTGTTGACTGCCCTGGTGATTCCACGGCTGTTATATTATCTTTCATTCCAGAGAGGACTTCCACAACCTCTGGGCTTACACCAAGGTTTCTCAGCTGTCTCAAGGACATTCTTGGAGTTTCTTCTGACTTTGGTGTGCGTTTTGGAGTTCTCTGGTCCATTCTAACATCACCACTTGACTCTTTTGGTGATTTCGATGTTGGCATCTGTTTCATTCTGGACTGGTTTTCTGCAAACTCTGGGGTGGCACTAGGGTTTCTCAATAATCTTAAGGACGTTCTTGACATTTGTCTTGACTTTGGTGTGTGTTTGGGAGTTTTCTGAATATCTATGTGAACTTCTTCATCACTTTCTGACTGTTGTAGTGATTTTGGTGTTGTCATATGATCGTTCACTCTGGACAGGTCTTCTACAAACTTTGGGCTGGCACTAGGGTCTCTCAATAGTCTTAAGGACATTCTTGATGTCCGTCCTGACTTTGGTGTGTGTTTTGGAGTTATCTGAGTATCTACATGGACTTCTTCATCACTTGCTGACTGCTCTGCTGATTCTGGTATTGACATATGTTCTTTCATTCCAGACAGGTATTCCATGACCTCTGGACTCACACCAACATTTCTCAGCTGTCTCAAGGACATTCTTGGAGTTTCTTCTGGCTTTGGTGTGTCTTTTGGAGTTCTCTGGGCCATTTTAATAACATTATCACTTGATTCCTCTGGTGATTTTGGTGTTGGCATATGATCTTTCAGCCTGGATAGGTCTTCTCCAATCTCTGGGCTGGCACTAGGGTTTCTCAGCAGTCGCAAGGACATTGTTGGTGTTTCTCCTGACATTGATGAACGTTTTGGAGTTTTCCGAATACCTAGGTGGACTTCATGAAATACTGACTGTCCCAGTAATTCTGGTGTTAGCATATGACCTTTCATTCCGGACAGATCTGTGCTGACACCAGGGTCTTTGCACAATCGTGGGGACACTCTTGGTATCTCTCCTGACTCTGGTATGCATTCTGGAGTCTTCTGAATCTCTTGGTAGACTACTTCATTTACTGACTCCTCTAGCGATTCTGGTGTTGAGATCTGCTCATTCCTTTCTGATGTGTCTTTGACAAGCTCTGGGCTGCCATTAATGTTTCTCAGTCGTCTCAGAGACATTCTTGGAGTTTCTCTGGACTCTGGTGGGTGTTTTGAAATGTTCTGAATATGTCTATGGACATTAGCACTCACTGATCCCATTGTTGACATTTGATCTTTCACGTTGGTCAGGTCTTCTACAAGCTCTGGGTGTGCACTAGGGCCTCTCCATAGTCTTGGGGACATTCTAGGCATTTCGCTTGACTTTGGTGTCCGTTTTACAGTGCTCTGAATGTCTCTGTGGACTTCTTCACCACTTCTTGATTTCCGTGCTGAATTCGGTGTGGGCATTCCATCTTTCATGCCTTCCAGGCCTTCCATGAGCTCTGAGCTTACATTAGGTGCTTTCGGCCATTTCTCCAAAGATACCAGAGTTTCTCCTGGTTCCGACTCCTGTTTTGAAGATTTTTGTGAGACGTCTTCCACCTCTATTGCTTGTTTTATTGCAAGTGGTGTTTTATCAGGAACATCTATAATAGAGAAGTAATATTTTCTGTAAAGGCATCTTACTACCCATAAGACCCTATTTTTAAATATCACAGTGTAAAAAAGAAAAAGAAAACCAGGTAAACCAACCCCAAGTTTGTGGTAATTTTCCTGACTTTGCTTCTTCAGACACGGTCTGTGAACGTTTGGTACTGCCAGGACTCATGCTGGTTCTCTTTGCCTTTTCCTTCCCTGGGGTTTGGAACATTTCTGTCAGTCCTGTCATAGGGAAATATTGGAAATGCAATTAACATATTACTTTGACATGCAAATAGCCATGTGAGTCCTCACATACAACACAAAATGCTTAAAGAAATGTACAACTCTCTCTTACACGTGTAGCAGTCAGGGCCTGACAAAGAGGGAGGTTCCACTAGGACAAGACAGGCGGCCCCTGGGCACCAACAGGTCCATTCTAAGTGCTCCTTTAAGTCAAAGTCAAATTTGTTGGCCAGTTGGAACAGGTTCACAAGGTTCCTATCTAGCCTTACATTAATGCAAGAAAGGAGCGCTGGCAGCGCTGTAGGGTAAGCTCTGGGCTGCTGACCATAAGATTGGCAGTTCAAACTTAGCAGCTGCTCCACCATGAAACAGGGTCACCATGAGTTGGAACCAACTCTCAAAGGCTTTTATAATTCACAGGGCTAGGTTTTCACCTGACCAGTCTTCAGTGTGGGCCATTTTCCTTTTAAAAATAGAGTTGTTTAGTATTCTGTTTGAAAATATGGAGAGAATAACCAAAATGTGACGGAGCTACAATGTGAGCACAGGCTGTTGGGAAGATGGCGCCCACAGCCTGACACGACACAGAGGTGCCACAAATCTTCCATCTGTGAAAAACATGGGGCAGGTCTGGGAAGCACAACAGAACAAGGCCTGCCCAAACAAGCTCCACCAGGATCACAAACAGTAGGAACAAAAGGCTGATACGATTCGTAAGAGTGAAGGCTGTCTCTGTACCTGAAAAATCTTCAGTATACATTTGCTTCCGGTATGAAATGAAGTTGTTTAGTATTCTGTAACGGGGAGCAGGAAGGCTCACTTTGTCAACGTGTGCTCTCCCGATTATTATCGTGCAGGGAGAAGTTGCGTGGCCTGTGCTGAAGGGATTTTCAACATGTTCCAGAGGCTTCTGTAGAAAGACAGAAGTTAAACGCATGTCAAAACATACACACACAAAAGCCGAATGTGGGAGCACAGTATCATTGATGTGTGAGGGCAGTTTCTACTGGAGCCCAGTACCTGTGGAGTACGGTTCCTTTTTCGTTTTTTACTTTTGGGTTTATGAGGACCTTGCTGTACACTTTTCACTTCTTGTTTTTTAGTGCCCAACTTTACTACATCTGCCCATGACTTGCCACCTGTCAAAGGGAAACAGCTGTGAGATTTAAAGACCACGAAGGAACCTCCCTGACCAGAATATAAATAACCAAGTAAAACCACACTAACCGGACACTTTTCTTCTAGAACAGCTGCTCCTCCTTTTGGGATAAACTATCTGCAGTGTGTTTTTATCAGCTGATTTTCTATGAGAAGATCCTTTGCTGCTCTTTCTCCTAGGAGTGTCAGGCTGATGAGGTTTGTTGCTCTTCGAGGTAGGCGTGGATTCCGCTTCCCCACGAATCTCTGCAGAAGCCGTTCCTTTTCCTGGTGCTGGAGACTGTTCCTGACGTACCTGAAATATTGATAAGAAACCAGGAACGTATCCTGTCTCTCCCAAGAACGCTGATTTCAATCTCAAGACAGTCAGTGTTTCAGCCAGGCTTCTACTGAATGTGAGGTCTAAGACAGGTGGGAGCTCAGATCACCCACTCATGAAAGGGAGAAGGGAAGAGCAGCTCAGCAGCCAGTAAGTTCCAATAGGGGAAGTTCAGGGAGGCAAGTGGGAGGAAATGGGGAGTTGAGAGGCATGCTAGCTCTGTCCCCACCTGGATACAATGCCTCCTGTGGGGGTCCTGTACAGGAACAGGGCTGGTGCCTGACGGGCACTCCTGTGAATGGGAGGCCCTGCCCTCTCGCTGCTCTTCTCCTTATGAGGAAGGAGGACCATGGAGCTTACAACAGCCTCCTACCAGGAGAGCTCAAGATGCAAGCCAGGACCCCCACACCTAGGGACAATAAGGAAAGTTCTAGCAGCTGATGATGCCATCCAAGTGTTCTCTTTTTCACCCATTAGTTCAATGCCACAGCCTCAAGATTGTGTTTAGTGATGGACCCACAGGACTTACTGGTAGGCTCTCTACTGTAGCCACAGGGTCATTATCTGACTCTGGACAGTGGCTGACAGGGAATCTAGCAAATCTATTATAAGAGATGAAGGGGTCTGCAGGGCTTTCCCCGGGCCGGGTCACCTCAGAACCCAGAGTGGGTCTCATGTTTCCACAACGAGTTCAGTGAGCTCCATTTAGAATTCTTTTTTTGTTTTTGTAACGTGTAAGTGTTTTTAAAATTCTTCATTAGCATTCTGCTTATGTCAGGCATCTGGAAAACCTCTATGCTCGGACTGTAAGCATGAGCTAAAAACGAGGACACTGCGTGTTAAACTCACCTTCATGATCTTCTTCAGAACAGTTGGAGCTGGGGTCCCAAGAGATTTGCGTTTTCCAGGCGCTTCTCCTCGTTTGAGAGGGGTGTTAGGTGGCAAATTCTCATCAAACAACTCAGGCCTGAGACGACCACCAAAGGAGACCCTGCGTCTCTTGAATGACATTTCTTCATTCTTATTTTCACCTTAAATCATGAACAAAACAAGGGCAGGCAAAATGAGAAGAATTCACAGTAAGTAGGATTTGTTTTACAAAAGTGTGCAACATCAGTGACATGGGGACGGCTGTGCACAACTGAAAACGGTTGGTGTTAGATACTTTAGCACAATGTAGTTTTAATAAATGTATAACCGTAATCATTTCTTTATCAATTATTAGTAAACATAATATATTACGTAAAATGAAGTTTTCAAAATTATAAAAATCTACCCCTAAACATGAAGCCATTTAAACTGTTGTTGTTGTTAGGTGCCATCGAGTCATGGACCCTGTGCACAACAGAATGAAACACTGCCCAGTCCTGGGCCAACCTCACAATTGTTGCCACACTTGAGCCCAATGATGCTGCCACTTTGCAAATCCATCTTTCTAGGGGTCTTCCTCTGACCCTCCACCTTACCAAACATGATACCCTTCTCCACCAACTGGTCCCTCCTGACAATATGTGCTAAATATGAGAGACAAAGTTTGGCCATCTTGGCCTCTAAAGAGCACTCTGGTTGCACTTTTTCCAACACAGATCTGTTGGTTCTTTTGGCAGCCGATGGCAGCACTTTCAATATTCTATTCCAACACCATAACTCAAAGGCATCAATTCTTCTACAGTCTTCCTTATTCACTGTCTAGCATTCATATGCATATGAGGTTATTGAAAATACCATGGTTTGTCAAGTGCACCTTAGTCTTCAAGCTGACATCTTTGCTCTTCAACACGTTAAAAAGGTCTTGTGAAGCAGATTTGCCTAATGCAATACATCATTTGCTTTCTTGACTGCTGCTTCTATGAGTGTTGATAGTTGATCCAAGAAGAATGAAGTCCTTGACAACTTCATTCATTGATAAGAATGTTATTGGTCCAGTGGTTAGGATTTTTGTTTTGTTTTTTTTACTTTGAGATGGAATCCAATACCGAAGGCTGTACTCTTTGATCATCATCAGTAAATAATTTAAATCCCTGATTCACTTTCAGCAAGCAAGGTTGTATCATCTGCATACCACAGGTTGTTAATGAGTCTTCCTCCAATCCTGATGCCACGTTTTTCTTCATATAACCCAATTTCTCGAATTATCTGCTCAGCATACAGGTTAAGTAAGTATGGTGAAAGAATACAACCCCGTCACACACCTTTCTTAGTTTGAAATCATTCAGTGTTCCCATGATCTGTTTGAACAACTGCCTCTTGGTCCATGTACAGATTCCTCATGAGCATAATTAAGTGTTCAGGATCCGGCCTGAACCTCTGGAAGTTCTCTGTCAATGTATATTTGCAGTCGTTTCTGTACTACCGTTAGGAAAACTTTACTTGCATGGGATATCAAAGATATTGTCTGATGATTTACACATTTCGTTGGGTCACCTCTCTTTGGAATGTGCACAAATATGGATCTCTTCCAATCAGTTGGCAAGATAGCTGTCTTCCAAATTTCTTGGCAGAGATGAGTGCCTCCAGTGCTGCCTCACTTTCTTGAAAGATTTCCGTTTTTCTTCCATCAATTCCTGGTGCCTTGTTCTTTGCCAATTCCTTCAATGCACCTTGGACTTTCTCCTTCAATATCATTGGCTCTTGATCATAAGCTACCTCTTGAAATGGTTGAACATCAACCATTTCCTTTTGGTACAGTGACTCTGTGTATTCTTTCATCTTCTTTTGATGCTTTCTGCATCATTCAGTAATTTGCCCAGAGAATCCTTTAATAACGAAACTCGAGGTTTGAATTTTTTCTTTAGTTCCCGCAGCTTAAGAAATGCTGAGCGTGTTCTTCCTTTTGGTTTTGATTCCACATCTTTGCACATTTCATCGTACTATTTGACTTTGTCTTCTAGAGCTGATCTTTGAAATCTTCTATTCAGCTCTTGGACCTCATTTCTTCCATTTGCTTTAGAGCAAGTTTCAGTGCCTCTTCTGACATCCATTTTGACGTTTTCCTTCTTTCTTTCTTCTTTCTTAATGACTTTTTGCTTTCTTCACGTGTGATGTTCTTGATGTCATCCTCCAATTTTTATGATCTTTGGTCTTTAGTGTTTAATGTATCCAATCTGTTCTTCAGATGATCTCTAAATTTGGGTGGGATACATTCAAGGTCATATTTTGGCTCTCATGGACTTGTTTTCATTTTCTTCAGCTTCAGTTTGAATTTGCATATCAGTAATTGATGGTACTGGCTTCTAAAAAAATCAAGAGCTTGTCTTTAAGAAAGCAGACTACTAAAATGTCCAAGTGCCAACTTCCCAGGACAATGATGTCTGTAACGCCCGGTGCTGAAAATCCTATCTAGATAAGAGTTTAATAAGCTTGCTGGTCCACAGCCGTCATTGCCATCTTGAGAAGGGACAGGGGTGGCAGACACAAGCTTCAGCGATGGCCTCAGAGAACTCTTAAAAAGACCTGCCTACACAACAGGGCTTAAGTGTGTGAAAAAGTGGAATGAAAATCTCATGGAGTTTTTCCATGAATTATGTGAAGACTTTTCATACCTGGGCCTCCTCCCCAGCTTGTGAATAGGGAGGTAGTTTGTAGTAGCCCACCCTAGCACCGCATCTCTGCCACCCTCTGGTCAGCATGGGTCCCTAGTTTAAATCCAGAGCCAGTGATGGGTATGAACCAGGCTAATCTGACTGGAGCCTCTGGGGCCAGAGCACTGGTATGAGGGTGGCCGGGACAGGATGGGGCAAATTCCCATTCGCAAAGCCAGCCCCCCAAAACTGCAGGGGGCCTCAAGGAGTGGCCATACCTACCTCTCAAGGGCCTACCTCTCTGCTCCCATGGGGCCATGAGGTGTTCGTGTCTCCCCATCTGTGACAGGGAGACCACAACCACACATCTCCACCCCATGGGAATCCTGCTGAGCGATCACAACTGTGTGATCTGAAAAGCTGGGCTAACTGTGCCTGGCATGAAGGACGTATGTACGCGGGTGAGTCATAGGTTGTTACTGCGGGTGCCGCTCCAGGTGCTGGGAAACTGGGGGCAGGAGAGCACGAGAGCTTCCTCATGCAGAGCATACGCTTCTCCTCTCCGTGTTGTTGAAAGGAAATTACTGATTCAAGGGTTTGGAGCCCCACCCCAATCTACCTGGAAAGGCATGGTGATTCAATGGTAGATGTTTCACCTTCCATACTCAAGACATAGGTTTGTTTCTGCCTAGTGCACCTCTTGCCCAGCTACCACTAGCCTGCTAGTGGTGACATCAGTTGCTAGGCTGCTGAATGGATTTCAGTGGACCTTCCAGAGTAAGAAGAGCAGGATGAAAGGTTTAGCATCTACTTTTGAAAACTGGTCAATGCAAACCCTGCTCCACAAACCTCCGTGTGGGCGGTACAAAACGGAGCAGGGTTTGATTCCGTTGTGCGTGGGTCACCATGAGTCAGGGGCCACCTTTACAGCAGCCAATGACAGTGTCTCCCTCAGGCCATCCTAACACCTCTATAGCAGGTTTTTCTAATCTGCAGGTGTACACAGGGTTGCACACCTGCAACCTTCCTGCCTAGCAGTGTCTACCGCAGGGCAGTTCACTATCAAATGCATGCTGGTCCTCTGCTCAGTCACATCTCAAGAAGGTAGGTATGCAAAACTTTCGGTGAAAAGACATTTAGATGAACTTACTGATACCTGACACAGAATCGTCGAAGCTCCCTGCAGGAGACGCTTGAGCCCTAGCAGATCCAAGGCTCATTTTACGCTTCCTTGGAGACACATTCGAAGTTTTGCTATCAAGCTGAGAGAGCACCCGGGTGAGGAATCTCTGGTGGTGCCCAACTGTCTCTGAGGACTGAGGGGGACCTTCAGCACCTGTGGCCCTGCCCCTTTTCTTTTCAGAAGAGAAATTTTCTGAGCCAGCTGCATCTTGTCTCTGCAATTCCTGGGAATTGACAAAACAGGAAGTACGTGATTCATAGTCTTTGTGAATATGGATAATGAAAATTACGGAAATCTTTTTACTGACAAAAACTTCATCACCAAATTGCTCAGATGTAACTTTTGGACTTGGCTTCAGAAATAAGCCCAGGACGGACATTTAAGTGTCCATGGTCAAAATATAAACCTTTGTTGTTAGTGCTATCAAGTCGGTTCCGACTCATAGCAACCACGAATAGGGGTTTCCGAGGAGTGGCTGGTGAGTTTGAATCACCAAACTCGTGGCTAGCAGTTCAGTGCTTATCCTACAGCGCCAGACCAGGATCCCAAACATTAATAGCTGACTTTAAAAATACATATCTAATAAATGCGATAATAAGCAAGTTAGAAGATTAAAATGATTAGAACGAAGCCTCAGTGGGTTTTTATAACTTCCTTAACCATGTTACCCAGGACACGGAAGTTGAAGCCCAGCTGACATGAAATATCGGCTGCCCTCATGCCTGCTGACAGGGGCAGTTGTTTCGGTACCTGGCTACACGTAGGCCAGTCTTCTGGGTGGTGAGGCTCTGTTTAACAGGTGTTTCTGAGAGCTCAGACGTCAGGCAGGAGGAGCAGTGTGTCCAAACACTGCCCCCTCCCAACACCACTGACTCAGTGCCATGACTGAGCACACCTGTAAGTAGTGCCCCGCAGCCCTGCATATGGAAATTCTGGGTGGGTCCTGTAGGGTAACCACAAGGTCTGCGGCTGAAACTCACCAGCCGCTCAGATCCCCTATACAGGGTTCTTATAAGGGGGAACCAACTCACAGCACTTACCAACCACCCAGGGAACAGCTAAAGAATTACATAGAAAAGATGTAAAAATCCAGAGTCTGCCGAGGAAGGAAAACCAGCAGCTCAATTATTGAGAGGGATCCTTAAATATTACCTCGGGTCAAAAACGGAACTTTCTTAAAACAATTTCAAAATGTTTTGGTATCTAGTCCATTTTTTATTTCCCATTGGAAAAGGACCAGTAATTTCATAATAAATTAAAATATAATCACTATAAAAAATATGTCCAATTTTTTTTTTTTCTTTTGGTGTTATGTTCTAAGTTACCATAAAATGATTTAATTTTTAAATTGCCCTATTATCTCACTCCTTAATGTTAGTAATGGTTAGTGGTACCTAGCTAGCTTCTTGGCTGGGTTTTCTACACCTATTAGCATGGTGGCTGGTGTCTGAGAAAAAGGAAAACAGACCAAAACAACCCATTGTCAAGTGCTTTCCCACTCACAGCGACCCGGTAGGGCAGAGCAGAGCTGGCCCACGGGGTTTCCAAGGTTGTCATCTTTACGGAAGCACTTGGCCACACCGCTCTCCTGCAGAGAAGCCGGGCTTTGAAGCAGCTGAGCACTGAATTGTGGCACCACAAGATTTCCTAGCAGTGCCTGGGACCCTTTAAACCCACGCTTCCACGGGAGCTGAGGAACAGCCAGCTCCACATGCCTGTCACCCCATGAAGGAAGCAGCAGGACTGGAACGGGAAGTGTCCACTGCGAAGTTCAGCCTCTGGGTGATGCAAATGGTTAAGCGCTCAGCTGCAGACCAGAAGGGTAGCAGTTTGAATCCACCCAGAGGTCCCACCAGGAAGTCCTGGCATGTCTTAGCAGACCATCCCAGCTGTTGCGTATTTCCATTCTGGAACACAGGGTGTGAGCTGCCGGGGGCTGGAGCCTACCTCCACAGTATCTGGTTCATGGCTAATTTCACGTGGACCTATGATAAGTCTCCTAAGCCACAGAAACTTGTGAAACTTCCTACAAAGTGGGAAATCGAATTCTCAGGACTTCACGGGCTTGGTGTTTAATAAACTACACTGCTGGGAAGACTATTTTTACACTGACGGGAGTCCATCCGCAACAGGTTGTCTATCAAAACTGGAATGCATCTGCGGCCCCAGTGATTTCTGACACATGACGATGGACAAGTGCAGTGACTGGGGGACAGGTGGGCCACACAAGAAGACGGAGTGCTCTGCAAACTAGCTCTGCGTCACAGCTCCAGCCACAGGTTTGCAAGAAGCAAGTGTCTGTGCGAGCTCTATTTTGAATAACATAGGGGAACTACACTTTTGGGGGCTTCAGTCTGTCTCAGTTCAGTCTGAACTCTAGCTCCATCTTCCCACCGCCACCAGTCAGCCACGCTTCTCGTCAGCGTGCTCAAGTGAGAAGCTCTGATCTAAGTGTTTAGAGGCGGGGTCTGGATCATGCCAAAGCAGACTCCAAACTGGGATCATCGCTCCCATTACCTCTGTGCCATGTTGTTCTGGGGGTCCACTTGAGCTGCTTCCTTCTGAGAGACGTCCACGTTCAAACCTGAAGTGCACAGAATGACAGGCACAAGAGTCAGACGCAAGCCTGGTCCAGGTTCCCCACCTGGTCCGTGTGCAGGGACCAAGGTACAAGCCTCAGCCTACTCCTGGCAGTTCCCACTGACGGAAATCACTCAGGCTTTAGAAGGTGTTTGCACACCAACTTTGATACGCTGCCTTGAGTTTGGTCTGGAACACCCCTATCTGAGGTTAAGGAGCTCTGGTAGTGTAGTGGTTACGAGTTGGGCTGCTAACCTCAAAGTCAGCAGTTTGAAACTGCCAGAGGTTCTCTAGGAGAAACTCCCATCAAGATTTACAGCCTCAGAAACCCTATACAGGGTCACTGTAAGTCAGAACCAACTCCACGGCACACTGCCACATCTGCAGTTAGGGGCCAGGTGACTTGCTCTGGATGAGATGAACATATGGTCTGGGGAGTGCTGTTTTGTTTTATTCAATGAGGCCTCAGCTCTGTTTGAATATTGATGGAAGGGACACAGGTCATGGAGACATGGCTGGAATTGTGTTTTGTTCTGCAAGACCTCCGTAGGCCAAGAACAGAGTCTAGACTGTTCCTCTTCAGAGGCCAAGGCAGAGGTTGGGCACGTCTACAGATCAAGATGGTTAAATCCTGCCTGTTTGGCTTCTGTAGGCAGAAACAAGAGTCTATACAAACAGAATCATGTGTGCACCCAGACACCATGTAATCAGCTAACGTTTAAATTAGCTAAGTTGACCAAACCCAAGGAGGTACAAGGCTCAGAATTTTGTCAGATTTCAACACACCTCTCGGAGTAAACAGTAAGCAGGGGAAAAGTAACATGAGTAATATGGAAGGCTTGAAACTAATGGCCATTATTCAAGAACACATTACAAAATTAACCATATATTTTTATAAAGCAAGCCTCAACACATTTCAAAAACAGGAGATTACTCGAATGTCCATCTAAGAGAATAATCAATTGCAAAAACAAGATTTCAGGGAAACTCGTATGCCATGAGAAGGAACCAATGTCAACTCCAAATCCTGTGCATCTCACACACAAGCACTTCATTACTTCTGCGTGGAGCTGAGTGGACACTTAGCCAGGGTGTGAGAGACGCATGCCCAGGCAGTAAACTGCACAAGGGCTTGGAGGTCACAGTAGTTTTCTCAGCAAAGGACAGGAGTAGCAGTGAAAAGACACAAGAAACAGTATCTGGAGATGCTCCGTGGCTGCGTGTTCGTCATCAGCTGAGCTGCACATGCTCTCGGCTGCCCTTTCCTGGGCATGTGTTCTGTGCAAAATACAGCAACCCCAGACGCCTGCTCTTCCACTCAGTCAGTCTTTGCAACCACAGCTTCCTGGGCCTAGTCCTGAGGGCTTAAATCCTTGAACTGAGATCACAGGGATGCCCCATTTCTCATTCCTTCTACAGAAAGTGTTGAGAAGACAGCACGAAATAGTGGCAGTTAGACATTCAAGGGAAGGCATTGTCGAGCATTGCAAGTCGTAATGTGCTGCTTATAAAAGCCCCATTTCAGTTTTACCTACCTGAAAGAGCGGTCAATAATGGTTATTATGTCTCCGTGTTTGAGTTTGACTGGCTCATTGATAGGGGCTCCATTTAATTGTGTTGGATTAGAAGTACTGAAATTAATCAATAGTGCCTGGAAGCAGAAAGAAACAGAGTCACCGTAGAGAGGTAGTACGGAGGTAGGCGGGAGACAGGAAGTGCTTGGGAACAAAGTCACAGACACACTGACCTCCTGCTGCTGGATGTCGATCCTGCAGTGCTGCTGGGAGACCACAGGCAGCTGGATGCGGATGTCACAGTCGATGCCCCTGAATTGTAAAAACAGCAAGATGTGGGGAGTTGTTGACCATTTTATAGATTTTCCTCAGCTATTCAGAATATGAAGATTTGACTAGTATTTTTTACGGTGGCAAAAATACAGTTTATACATTTCATATTTCTCATTGTTCACGTATACAGTCCTGTGGCCAACATGTAGATTGTGCGCCCCAGAAAGGGAGTCCAACCCATCCTGAACGGTGGCTCTCCCCGACTCCTCCAGCCCCAAAGCCAGCAAACTTGCATCTGGACGCACTTGCCTATCCTAGGTCTGTGGTATTGGTGAACCTACAGTCAGTGTTAGAAAGCTGTGACAAAATGGACAGTGTCGTGATCTTCATATTTCGCTAATTATCACAAATGTCATAAAAAAAAAAAAACTATTTTATATACTTAAAACTTCAAGAACTTACAATAAATAATTGTAACGGAAAATACTAGCATCAACACTTAATTACCTTTTCATTTAAAAAGTCATGCTTATAAGTCATAATGAGGGGCTCTGATAATTGGGAGAAAGACTAATTGAATTCTTTTAAAAATGTGCACCTCGGTTTTGTTCTATAAACCATCGTGTTTGCAAGGTTTATCATCCCACGGAGGCCTGTTTCACACGAGACCCTCTCTGCCTGAGTTTCTTCATTACAGAAAGGAGAGTACGTCAGCATAAGCTTGGTGGTGCTTAACGATCCAGTGCGTCCTGTGTGAACCTGTCAGAGCCAGACCTCCACAGGATGCCCTGTCTTCTCAGTTCCTCCTCTGACAGGGTGCAGTCGGAACCCTTTTTTCTGTCGTTCTCTCGTAGTGGGAACTGTTTGTGGTTTCCTTCACTGACAGCTTAGGGTTCCGCCCTATACAGGTTCCAGCGGCCCTGGGTTTCACCGTCCACAGGAATCATTAGTCTGGCAGTTCTAAGTTTAAGCTTTTCATTCTCTTAAAACTGTACTGTACTGCCGAGAGACTCAAAAATCTCACAGTCAAAATACTAATCTGCAAACAAGGAAAGAACATCCTGTAGATTCAGCTTTCCTTCCGTAGGGAGCGAACACCAACGCCATACACCAAGGGGAAGTCCCTACGCCTTTCCAGAAAGAACCCCGTGATTCTCCTGGGTCCCTGGTACAGTCTCTGGGTTTGTAAACAAAGTCTGACCAAACTACATAATCTTCTGTCTGATCTAAATCTGGAAGTCCACGTATGCTGTAAAAAGTTCAGCTAACCAAAAAGGTGGAGTTTCGAGTCTAAGAAGAAAGGCTGATGATTCACTTCTGCCAAACGAGCCCTTGAAAGCCCTAGGGAGCACAGTTCTACTTGGACCTGTGTGGGCTTGCCGTGAGTCCAAGTCCACGCGAAGACAGCTGGTTCTGGTTTTGGTTCTCACTCGAATCCTGTAGAGTCTGAGACTATCTCTCTACTCGTGTCACCTGGGAACTCTTGCTATAATCACTGCTGTGTAAAGAACCGAGTGACTGCCGTTGGAATCAGAAGTGTTTGTGTTTGTTTTCTGTTGAAGAGAAAGGAGTTTGAAAAGCAGACAGCTTTTCATATAGATGTTCATTTTGAGGTGCAGAAACCTCCCAGCGAGACAGAGCACCTCATCAGAACATTGTCTGGTTGGCAGAGTCTGTGCTGCAGTATTTCCCCTCCTTGGCACTGGTGACTTGGGGGCCGGCCCTTGTATTGTAGGGTGCTCAGCAGCTTCCCTGACCTCGGTCCCTTGATTTCAGTGGGACATCCCTCCCACATGGTGACATCCAAACCTGTCCCTAAACATTGCTGAATGTCTTCTGTCATTGAGTCAGTTCCAACCTATAGCCAATGTACAGGACAGAGTATAGCTGTCCCACCCGGCTTCTGATGTGAGTCTCAGAGAAACAGATGACCACACATTGCTCCCGCCAAGCAAATGGCGGGGCGAGACTGCCAACCTCTTGGTTAGCAAGTGAGCACTTTAATCACTGCATCACGGAAAAAATACTGAACGACACAGAGACCATCACAAGAAGAAGGAATAGAGTCTCTGTAGCAAAAAGGACTGATGGACGTTCAACCATGTAAACAGGAAGCATGTGATCAAAACTGAGGGTCCTAAGGACTAAGTTCAAGCTGTACTGAAGGTAGCGACTAAACAAGGCTATAGGAACTGATGACATCCCAGTTGAGATGTTTAACAAACGGATGAAAAGTCAGAAGCGCTCACTCATCTTTGTCAAGAAATTGAGAAGACAGCTCCCTGGCCAGCCCACCTGGAAGAGATACGTAGGCATGCCTATTTCAAAGAAAGGTGATCTAATGGAAGTGGAAATCATCAAAATATATCATTAATATCACTTGCCAACAAAATTATGTTGGAAGTGCTAGAAACTCAAGTCAGATTTAGAAGAGGAGGTGAAACAAGGGATATCATTGCGAGTATCAGATGGATCATGCCTGAAAGCAGAGAATACCGGGAAGATACGGACCTGTGCTTTATGGAAGATGCAAAGGTCTTTGACTCTATAGATCATATAGAGTGAAAAATGTAAAAAATGAGAAATGCACAATACTAAATTGTGCTTATATGGAACCTCTATATAGACCAAGAGGTATTTGGTCAAACAAAACAAGGTTTAAAATCAGGAAAGGTGTGTCCATTAGGGTTGTATTCTTACCCAATCCAATGGCCTGAGAAGCTGGACTATATAAGGAAAAACACGGCATCAGGATTAACTATATACAACCATGATTACTGAAAGAGAAGAGGACTTGATGCACTTACTGATGAAGATCAAAAACTACAGCCTTCAGTATGGATTACACCTCAACGTAAAGCAAAAATCCTCACAACTCCACCAACAAGCAATCTCATGATACAATATTGGAGAAAATACTGAAGTTGTCAAGGATTTTATTTCACTTGTAGCCACAATTAATGCCCATGGATCATCAATCAAATCAATGAGGACCATATTCTTTGGACACATGTAAATTAGAGTGTTAGTAAGAATACTGAATATACTGTGGACTGTCAGATCAAATCTGTCTTTGAAGAACTGTGGTCAGAATATTTCTTCGCAGTGAGGATGGCTAGACTGCCTCATGTACAGTTGTAAACTAATTATAAAATTGGCATCTAAGTTTTTAAAAAACAGCCATTTAAATAAACTTTATTAAGACAAAGGTTATTTATAAAAAGAAAACTTTATTTTAATAAAGCATAAATGGTTATATTGAAACTGTATTTAAACAGTTGTATTTGGTTTATCAGCACTGGCTGTGAACCACAAGGTCAGCAGTACAAACCTAACAGCTGCTCCAAACATTTCAATCATTACCAAATGTTTTTAATATATAAATATACTTGGTAATAGACCAGCATTTCAAGTTAACAAAGTATGAAGCGCCACGGCTAAGGGAGAGGAACCTCTCAGCCAGGGCTCTAGCTCCTTAGGCCCCCGCGGGAACAGTCCACTTTCTAAAGTTTCAACGCAGGAGCATGCGCGCTCTTACCTTCCAAAGGAACAGGTGTCACGACACAAAGGAAAATGGGTCCCATCATTCCCAGTCCGTTTTATGACGACCAGACGTCCCAAAGGCCCCATTTTCTACACTCGGGCGCATGCAATCCTGAGCTTCAGGCCGAAGCGAACTTACCAAAGACTCCTCCACTGCAACAGCGTCACTGAACACAAACAGGGAAACCATCAGTCTCCAAACAAGCAAGTCAGAAGTTGCTTTTATGTGACAAATTCGAGGGCTGCAGTCTGCTCCCTACCTGAGCTGGCACCTGCCTGGGTCCCTGCTGGCACCCCAATTGAGACAGACACACCACGCCGCACCCCAAATAAACCCAGTACCCCAGGCTACACCCCAGCTGAGCCCGGTACACCACGCCGCACCCTAAATGAACCCGGTACCCCAGGCTACACCCCAACTGAGCCCCGCACACCACGCCGCACCCCAAGCTTCACCCCGCACTCCAAGCTGCCTCAATCAAGCCTGCCCAGGCTGTACCCCAAGCGAGCCCGGTCCCTTCAAGCCCCAGGGGAACCAGCGCCCCAAAACAGCAGCGGACCACCCCACCCCCCGGCCCCTTAGTGTGGAGCTGTAGGGTAAGCACTGGACTGCTAAGTGAAAGGTCGGCGGTTCAAACCCACCAGCCGCTCCTCGGAAACCCTAAACAGGGTCGCTGCGAGTCGGAACCGACTCCAGGGCATTCAACAACAGACCCCTCTTGGGAGCCCCGCGCCTCACCCAGGGCACCGGGGCACAGCGCGCTCCCGGCGTGTCCTCGACAGAGCTCGGCTGCTCACGATCGTCACCGACCGTCTCCGGCCCCCGACCCCGAGCCCAGTCAGTTCCGGCTCCGGACATCGTAGGCCCGCTCTGGCCCAGACGCCGTCAGCCGCCGTTAGCCCGCCAGCGCAGACGCCACCGCCCCGCAGCCGTTCCCCAAGCGACCCGAGCCCCCCCAGTCGGCCCTGCCCGCCACGTGTCCCCGACACTCACGCCCCCGTGGCGGCCCGGCTCCTCGGGAGTGACCCGCTGCCCCCCGCTCAGCTCGGTCCCCGTGAGGCCTGGAGTCGTGGCTTCCGCCCAGAGCCCAGCCCGCCCGGCCCGGAGATTCGAATCAAAACCTAGATTCGAATTCTGGCGCTAAGCGCCGTGATTGGGCGGGCGGCAGTGGAAGGGCCAATGGGAGGCGGTGGGGCGGGCCCCGGAGGCGGGGCGGGGTCTGGGCGGCGGGAGGCCCTCTGAGTGCTTCCGTGGGGCGTGTCTCGCCTTCCCTCTGCGTGCAACGGATGGGAGGGGACGCGGGAGTCGGAAGGGGTAGAGTGTAGGCGGCAGATGTGGGGCTGCCGGGGGATTGGGAGGGTGTGCATTGTGTCCGCACCCGAGGTTCAGGAGGGGCCGAGTGGGGTCCACAGACGGGGGCTGCAGGGGAACAGAGTGGGGTCTCAGACGAGGGCTGCAAGGGGGACGTGGCAGGGTGGGGTCCGCAGAAGGGAGTTGTGGGTTGCTTGGGGCTCTTCAGCACACTGCATTCAGAAGCAAAAGCATCTTAGAATCTCCACAGAAGGAATCGCAGAGAGGGGAAAATGGAGCACAACCCCACTGCCCAATAACCCCTTTCGCCTTTTTTTTTAACCTCCCAGACAGGTAGAACACCACATGAGGTTACTCTCCCTAGGTTTAAAACTTTCTAAGGTTAGAAACCTTTCTCTACCCCTCCTTCCCAAAGTCAGGCCTGTATTTTCCACACTTTCTTGTGTGCTTTCCCGAGAATACATGTATATACAAGCTCATATTCTACATATTATTCTATGTGTTTTCTGCTTCATCAATCATGAAGTTATTTTTTGTCTTATTGGTGGCTGCAGAGTAATGGCTGTTATAGCAACCCTGTGTAGTGTTTCCAAGGAGCAGCTAGTGGGTTTGACCTGCTGACCTTGTGGTTCACAGTCTAGTTCTGATCCTATACTTTATTTCATCACTCCCATTAAGGAGTCTTGGTGGTGCCATAGGTTAACTATTTGACCACTAACCACCCTAGAAAACAATTCTACTAAACAACTCTGCTACGCAACTAAACAACCTCTGTTCTATAGGTTTGCTTTTAGTTAGAATCAACTCCATGACAGTGGAGTTGTGTTTGGAATTGCTGTGAATATTGAAAGTGCCATGGGCTGCCAAAGGAACCAACAGATCTGTGTTGGAAGAAGTGCAGCCAGAATGCTCCTTGAAAGCCAGGATGGCCAAACTTCATCTCTCATACTTCGGACATATTGTCAGGAGGGACCAGTCACTGGAGAAAGATACCATGTTTGGTAAGGTGGAGGGTCAGAGAAAAAGAGGAAGACCCCCAACGAGATGGACTGGCCAAGTGGCAGCATCGCTGGACTCAACTGTGGCAACAATAGGTTGGCCCAGGATCAGGCAGTGTTTCGTTCTGTTGTGCATAGGGTTGCTATGAGTTGGTACAGACTCGATGGCACCTAACAACAACAACAACAAGTTTTACAATGCATTGGTATTCAAAATAGTTCTGCCAATAAAAAACATTTTGCATGACTACATGGATGAATTTTAATATAGTTACGTTGAGTGAAAGAAACCAGAATAAAAATAACATCACCAATTGAGTGATTAAGTTTATGGTAGACTTTGAAAAATGCCAACTTGTCTATAGTGACAGAAAGCACATCTGTATTGGGAAGACAGGGACATCAAGTTGGCCTTTATGAAAAGGTACATGGAAAATTTCCCCCAGGGCATATTTACATCTGCATTGCAGGAGATTTCTTAATTCAGTCCTTCTAACTATGTTCCTCCATTCTGTGAAGTGCTGTAATTCCTAGTGGATAGGGCACCATTTGGGAGTGACTTGTTAAGGAATCAGGATCAGTGTAGGGTTAAGAAGTCTTGGTATAACTGTAGAATAAGCACTAGACTGAGAGGTCTGTTTAAACTGCAAGAAACTGCCATCTAGTCGGTTCCAACTCCTAGCAATCCTGTATAGGGTTTCTGAGGAGCAGCTGGCAACTTTGAACCTCCAACCTTGCTTAATAGCTAGTGCTTATCCTACAACAAGGATTCATGTAGGATTAAGGATTGAGTTGGGTCTAAAGAGTAAGGTTTAGGAGTCCTGGTATGGCGCTATCGTATAAAGCACTGGAACGTGTGTTGATATGAACCACAAGATCAGCATTTCAAACTCACCGCTCACTCCTTGGAAACCCTAGTGTGTGTTTGTGTGTGTGTGTGTGTGCACTGTGGAGTCAGTTCTGACTCATAGTGACTCTATATAGGGTTTCTGAGGTTGTAAATCTCTACGGGAGCAGAAAGCCTCATAGTTTGAACTGCTGACCTTCAGGTGACCAGCCCGATTCCTTGAAAGCCCTATAGAGGGTTGCGATGAGTCAGAACCAACTCATGGCACTTAACAACAACAACAAAGCAGTAAGGACTGTGGGCAAATGCATCAGACTGCAAATGTATCAGACTGCAAAGTCATTTGAACTGCAAGGTCAGCGGTTCAAGCTCACCAGCTGCTTGAACCCTATACAGGGTCGCTATGGGTCAGAACAGACTCGACAGTACTTAACAACAACAAGTAGTGTGGACTCCTGGTGTGGCACTGTGGGATCAGCACTGGACTTGGAACCACAAGGTCGGCATATCAAACCCACCAGCTGCTGCTCGGAAACCCTATACAGATTCACTATGAGTCAGAACCGACTCGATAGCACTTAACAACAACAACTACAAGCAGTATCGGCCTGGTAGTTTTATGGCTTACATGTTGGCCTACTAATCGAAAGGTCAGTAGCTGGAATCCACCAGCGGTTCCACGGAAGACAGAGGAGGCTTTCTGCTCCTGTAAAGATTTACAGCCTGGGAAACTCTCCACAGGGTCGCTGAGTCCGAGTTGACTGGACAACACACCACCATTCACCAAGCAGTAAAGTGGATTCAACTAAACTGAAGTCTGACAATTTCAATCTTTTATCCATTTATCCTGATGCTATTTATTAGTCCAGTTGTAGTCAGAAGGACCCAGACCCTGGAGAAGGACATCATGCTTGGTAAAATGGAGGGTCAGTGATAAAAAGGAAGACCCCTCCCCCGCCAACAAGATGGATTGACACAGTGGCAGCAACTATGGACTTAGTCAAACCGAAGAACAACTGTGATGGCCCAGGGCTGGTCAGTTTTTCCTTCGGCTGTGCATAGGGTTGCTATAAGTCCGAACTGACTCGACGGTACCTAGCAACAAGGAATGTGGATTACGGTGGAATTAAGGAGTAAGGATTAAGATGGATGTACTGGCACTGTGGGTTAAGGCGCCAGACTGCAAAGCAGTTTGAACTGCAAGGTTGGCGGTTCAAGCTCACCAGCTGCTCCTCAGTCGCTATGAGTCAGAAGCGACTTGACGGCTCTTAACAACAACAACTAACCACAAGGTCGGTGGTTCTAACCCACCTTGGAAACCATATCCACTCACTATGAGTGGGAGGGTAGAACTAAGGCTTAAGGATGCCCCACCATAAGTCACCACCCTTCTTTTTGTTGGAGTGTGGTCTGTGCCCAAATACATGGAAATATGTGGACAAGATTTCCTAGCTTTGGGCGCTGCATCTGGATTGTCTGCAGCCGACCTTCGTGGGGCTTGTGGCCCGCAACCTGGCTGGAGTCACTGGCTTCTGCATCCTTGTGTATCAACAGCCTGTCGTCTGACTGATGCATGTGGGTTCCGCAGCCTCTGCCACCACTTGGATGAGGAGAATCCCTCCAGACCGACAGACATCTGGACTATGCCAGAGCCATTTCCTTGATAGTTTTGTGAGTTCTGTGAGGCTTTACAGTGCACTGTGCAGCTCTGGGATGCAAGAGAGAACACAGGGTGGAGGAAGGTGGTGGTTGGTATCAGAGATTATAGAGAGGTATGTTGTTGCTATACTATATAGATGGAAATGTTGGACATTTTGGATGTCTTTAATCTCCACCTCGTGGAGACCAGTCTTGTGCTGATCCTTCTGTAAGAAATTATTCTTGGAACAACACATACAAATAATGTTATTGTTAAACACTGTCAAGTCAG